CCCTTCTCTCTCCCCTTTTTGTTTTTTTTTTTTTTGTTTTTTTTGAAATTGTGCTGAGTGTGCAGGCAGCGGAGGAGGCACTGGCTGTGGAATGCACGGTCTGGCGATCCTATTAGAAATCCAAGCTGTCTGTTACCCAACAAACCTCAGGGATCGAGGGAGGGTAGGAGCGGAGAGGTGGTTTTCATCGGACCTTCGCGAAGAGGAGGTCGGAAGCTTAGCGTTCCCGGCTGAATGTGAGTGATAGCGGAGCGCCGCTTCTAGGCGCCGTGTACGAGGAACACATACTACGCAGTAGCAGCAAACACAGAGCTGAGCTGATACAACTCGTGTGATTGAGAGTAAGTGCCTTCTTCTTCACAAGAGAGAACCTACCGTGTTCCCGCGAACACAACGCACCCTTATTTTGGCTGTATCTGGCCGGAAATATAGCTTGTGTACATTGCATTTTAGGGTGCGTTATGTTCGGGGGAAGACGGTAGTACAATCACCATCGCTGGATATGGATGTACCTCACAGGACCTACCTTCTTCACCCGGCGAATAGAATGCCCGGTCATTATAGCCGTATCTGGCACAGTATCGAGTCCAGATGCGGGTATTGTGATCAGATACGCACGGCAAAGCTCTGGTGTCAATTAAATTGCCTTTCTTCTTCACAGGAGTAGTTAGGTGAATCACCATCTCTAGATCTGGATCTAGCTCACAGGGCACAGTACACAAGCTAGGAATTTTTTGACTGAATTGTGTGCGCAATTTCGGTCCGGTACATGCGTGAAAGGATCGCGGTAAGTAATTGCGACCACATGCATACGGGAAAGTCGTAGTGTTGAGTTGGACTCAGTCAGTGCGTCCTTCTTTGCACTGTTACGAGGTTGAATTAGCATATCTAGATCTGGATCTGTCTCACAGGGCATAGTAGTATGATGGTACACAAGCTAGGATGTTTTCGACTGAATTGGGGGCGCAATTTCGGTCCGGTGCATGCGTAAAAGGCGGTAATTGCGATCAGATACATGCGGGAAAGTCCCAGTGTTGAGTATCCTCTCATTCTCCACACCGTGATCCTGAAGTGATTTCTCTGTGCTCTAATAATCTCTCACGGTGCATTTGGTTTTGCCACAAAGAAAGCCGATTTTTTTTTCCTGTTTTTTTTCTTCTTTTTGTATATGAACAATTAATGTTTTTCCCTCTTTTTTTCTTTTTTTCTTTTTGAATATGAACAAATATTTATTTAAGTTGTTAATTATATTGACAAGTCGAAGCTTTTTGTACGACGGTTTTTCGGCTAGAGGGGGCCTGGCTCCACTTCTCACCAAATGTGCAAAATGATAATGAATCTACCCCTAGAACATTGACAGATGCACCGCCATGATATTTTTTCTTTTGTTGCTGCTGTAGTGAGTAGTGGAGCCAGTGTTCAGTATCACTGAGAGAAAGGGAATGAGTGAAAAGGGCATATCCATCACTGGAATAGGCAACAGAGGGTTGATTGAAAAAAAATGGACGATGGACAAACCAGGGAACAGAAATATCTAGAATGTAGTATATTATCTGGTACGTTATCTCCTTTTTTTTAATTATTTATCATTTATTTTTTTCTTATTTAGAACGAGTAGCTCCTTTTTTTTTTTTTTTTGACATTAGGGTGACTGGGACTATGCCCAAATGTTGTTGTAACTGTGGAAGCTTCTGAACATCAGTGAAAAGGGCATATTCATCACTACCTGGGGCGAGGTCCCAGTAGCAAAGAGGATTGGATTGAACGGCGCCTGAATCTGGCCGCGTTCGTGGACAAGTGCAGAAAGTCGAGATTGAACTCCTTTTCTGCATCTCTGCCTAAAACACGCCCAGATTCAGGATCTTAATCCAATCGTCTTTGCTAGTGGGACCTCGCCCCTGTTGTTGTACCTCCCGACTCCGAGGTTTTGAGCTCTCGGTCAGTATATCACAAGTTTATCTAGTAAATCTCCATTAAAATGTCATTGGGTACTTTGCATCTTGTTCTTCTCAGCAGCAGTTCTCTTTGTTTCTTGCTTTCTATCGTTACTTCTCGTCTTTTTGCTCCGGGCCTGGGTCCCATTAGCAAAGAGGATTGGATGTAGCTCCTGAATCTGGACGTGTTTTAGGCAGAGATGCAGAAAAGCTGTTCGATCTCGAATTTCTGCACTTTTCCAGGAAGACGTCTAGATTCAGGCGTTCAATCCAATCCCTGTCGCTAGTGGAACCTCGCCCCCGGAAAGTCTTGAAAGTATTTTGCGATTATCACGTACTAAAAAATATACGCTTCTCGGTTTAAATTTCTCTTGTGCAGGTTTATATACAAGTTGTCGCTTGTTGCGGATTAGCATCTACATTCGTTCCTTGGCATCTAGTGACTGAGTTCGTTAGTCATAATTATAGAGAGAGAGACGTCCTGATTAGGCGTTTCATTGTTATTTGATTCACTCTTCCTTGTGCTTCATCTTCTTCGGTCTTCAGGGATCCGCTTGTGATCTCACTGTCGTTGTCCTCTCTCTGTCTCTCTCTGTCTCTCTCTCTCTCTCTCTCTCTCTCTCTCTCTCTCTCTCTCTCTCTCTCTCTTCGATCTTCGACTTTAAGTCAACGGTTTGGAAGGGAGTACGATCCGCCGCGTCGTTGTATCTTCGACTTATTATCGCAGAAGAGAGAGGAGAGAGGAGGTCGTGAAGAAGAAGTGGAAGAAGATGGCTATGGCGTCTCTTAGCCATGGTTGTGATCACAGCCGTTGTGGTATCCGCCGTCGCTCTATTGTCTCTGTCTTCTTGTGCGCTTTGGTAATCCTCTGTCTCGCAGGATCGGTCTCCTCGTCGCCGTTTTCCTCGTGGTTTGTTCACCGGCGAGCGTTGGCCGGCGGTCATCGCCCAATCGATGAGACGAGTTCTCGACAGAATCTGGGAACTGCTAATGATAATGATAATGATCATGCTGCTGACGCGACTCTTGTGGGAGAGGGCGAAGAGCTGATCGAAGAAGATTGGGATCGGTGGGCATTGATTGAGGCGGATTTAGGCTTGGATGAGTACGGATTCAACGTAACTGCGGAGCAGCGGAAAGCTGCGCGCCGATTCCTCGGCCTGGCCAGCTTGCTCGGTAAGAAGTCTAAGGTCGTTAAACACGTGACTAATTTGGTCCAGAAAGCTTTTGGCTATGGCGCGCTCACGATCGGCGGGTTTCTGGGTCCCCGCGCGACGGTGACCAGCTTCGGCGATTCCGGTCCGGGGAGTCTGCGCTCGCTGTGCGCGCGCCCGGGGCCTCTGTACATCCGATTTGCGCGCGACGGGGTTATCCGATTGAAGTCGAGAGTGGAGTGCGGCTCTCACAAGACGATCGACGGGGCGGGGAGGAGGGTGAGGATCACGGGATGGGGCATCCACGTGGTCAGGCAGAGCCACGTGATCATCAAGAACCTGTGCATCGCCGGCGTCAAGGAGGACGCCATCACCGTCCGATCGAGCTCGAACGTGTGGATCGACCGCGTGTCGGTAACCAATGTCGGCGATGGCGGCATCGACGTCATCTGGGGCTCTCGCGCAGTGACCATCTCTCACTCCCACTTCTACGGCATCTGGAAGACCTTGCTCTTGGGCAATGGCAACAGCCCGAAGGCGGACAAAGCCATGACAGTAACGGTTGCCTTCAACTGGTTCCAGGGCTGCTTGTCCCGCACGCCACGTGTCCGAACGGGAAAGGTCCACGTCTGCAACAACGTCTACGACAAGTGGGTTAAGTACGCAGTCGGTGCTTCCGATGGAGCGAGCGTGCTAGTGGAGAACAACTTCTTCGTCAAAGGTGTTGATCCCTTCGTGAACAACCTTCATGAAGGCGAGCATGATGGCACCACGATCTGTTATAGAAGCAATGTGATGGAGGGCGCCAAGCTTCTTCGACAAGCTGTCGGCGTGGTGAGCGTGCCGTTTACCTGCCCAAGGCGGAGCGCCGCCTCGATCCGATCCAGCGCCGGATGTGGTTTCCAGTGCGCTGCGTAGTAGAGGAAGTCTGCTGTTGTTATTCAACGTGGAAAGACTGGCTCGTCGGGATCAGTCAGTCGGGATCAATCAGTCGGGATCAATCAGTTGGGATCAATCAGAAGAGAGTTGAGATTGAACATCGGACTGCTGAATGAAGAGATTGGATCAGGCGATCGATGAGAACTCCGACTGCGTAGAGAAAAGAAGGTAGTGATGGTACGCTGTTGTTGTTCTGTTCGTGTTGAAGAGGAGGCACTTTTTGAAGTCAAATCGAGAGAGAAAACGGTTGGAGAGTAAGAGGGGAGGGGATTCGATCCAGCGACCTGACAGTGTGCGCTTTCGGATTCATTGCCGCTGGATGTGCGGTTCCTAATTTTTTTTTTTTTTTTAATGCGGTTCCTAATTTCGAATGCATAGTGAACAGAGAGTTATTTAGTTTTTTTGAGTTTTTGTTTTGAGATGGAAGAGAAGAGGGGAGGGGTATTTTCTCAGATGGAAGAGGGGAAGGGAGAGTACGTTTGGATATGGAAGAGGGAAATGGGAGAAGGGAGGGAGGAACAATGAGTGAGTTGGTGGCAGATGCTGCTCTCTTGGTCTGTTTTTTCTGCAGATCGATGGTATTTTGTCCAGTGGTGTTTTCCTAATAAGGAATTGTTGAAAATAGAAAGGATGAGACGGAGGAAGAGGGCAGTGAACGCTGATGCACAGCTAGAGGTGGTGGTATGAGGACGATGATGATGATGAGGAGGAGGAGGAGGAGGAGGAGGAGGGAAGGAGGAGGCACTTGAGATTAATGATGATGAAGAGATTGATTGAGAGCACTGCCGGACAACGCACACATGGACTCACTTTCCTGCATATTTCTGACTGCGATTATGGCCGGATGTGCATGTATCTGACTGCAATTACGTCCAGAATTCAGTCGAGAAGGAGTCCTATCTGTTGTTTTAGTATCGGATCCCCTGAAGTGGGTGTATACATTCAATAATCCGGGATCGATGCAAGGTAAGGAGAAGGTATGGAGTCTAGTGGGAGGCATGACTGACCGTAAAAGCTACTCTTTATATTATTATTCTTATTTTTGTATTGGATGTCAGTTTTATTATAAAAAAAAAAATGGGGGGGCGTAGGAGGTCACTCCGTCGATGAAGGCGTGGTCAGTGCGGATGATCTCTAGCAGTGGCATGGTGTTTTTTTATATATATATATTTAATTATTATTTATATGTTTTTGAAGGGCATTTTTTGTATCTGGTTAATTTGGATGGAGAGGCAGCTACGTTGGCGGCGTCGAGACATTCAATGTGAAGCACTATGTATTCAGAAACTGCAGTTTGTTCATTGACAACGAGGGGAGGAGGTGTTCTCTGTGATTCACGGGCGGGGCAAGAGGGAGAAGAGAGGATTGCAAGCAGGGGAAGAGGGCAAGAGAGGAAGATGAGAAAGAGGAAGATGAGAAAGAGGAAGATGAGAAAGAGGAAGTTCAGTTCTGCTGGTCCTTTGGCAGGTGTTGTGTGTCAGAGAGGGCTTCAATATTGAGGGGAGGGGGGGGGGGTAGACTCACGGGCCTGGTGGGAGGGAGGAGGGAGGAAGGGAGAACAGGGAGAGAGATGCACGCGGAACAGGACAGGCAGACGATAAAGCCCACTGCAAGAGGATGGATGACCTCCCGTTCCGTTAGTCGCTCCGTTATGGATTTCCTGATTCTAAACGGTGCTTCAGTGAGTGAATGGGAAGGCGTCCCTATGGGGACTGGACTCAATGTCGCGAGTCTCAGCCATTGGGGTTTAGGGTGGGAGGGAGGAGGGAAGAAGGGGGCCAGTGAAGTCATGGTGAGTGGAGCGCCGACGATGTGTACGGAATTGTGTACGGCTACCTCTACTCCTTCAACTTCGGCGTCAAGTAACTCCAGTTAGCACAGCGACACTCTCGATGCCAAGTCTAGAGGGATAACAATTCTGACCAATTTTTTTTTAGTACAATTGCACTTTGTGTGAAAGATTGCATGCAGCGCATGGAGGCAGTAGTACTAGTAATTCTGTACATACGTCAGGTGATCGAGTCATGTGTACTGATTGCATGTTGGGTCTATAACTCATCGCATGTCGTAGTCCACTACGTCCAGTCGTTGGTTAACGATAGGGAGGGAAGTATTAGGCTGGGTACAACTTGAAGGTAGTCAGCCCAGGTAATTTGCTCAGTTAATAGTTCCTTGGAATTCCTCCTCACACTCTTCGACTTTTGAGATCCTTTTCCTCGCCTCCCTTCCTTAGTCTCCGTTACGTATTCTCCTGCGTCCTCGATCGGGTTCTTCCGCGGAATTCTCCCGCTTCGTATTCGTTGTGTTCCTTTTCTTCGTTTGTTCGTCCTTTTTCTTTGTGGTAATCTTCTTCGTCTTGTTGGTGTTGGTGTTGGTGTTGTTGTTGTTGTTGTTGTTGTTGTTGTTCTTCTTCTTCTTCTTCTTCTTCTTCTTCTTCTTCTTCTTCTTCTTCTCTTCCCAG